GGTGTCGTCTGCAAATTTGATAACTATGCCCCCAATATCATCATCCAACTAGATGAAGCTTCTTCTGTTGTCACCCCCTCCCCCCGCCAAATAAGAATTAGCACATGATAACAGATATATTCCTGGCTGATTTGTGAAGCAATGCTAAAACTGGAGGGAACTCTGCAGCTCTGTCGATGTAGTTGTATTGCAATGCCCACCAGCCCTAGAAACCACAAATCATGGTAAACAAGGCTGGGAGTGGCATTCCAACAATACCTGGGAGACCCAAGTCCCACTCATGTTTTAAAGGAACTGACTGAAACTTTTACGTTTATCACATGGTGCTCTCGTAACATACTGGGTACATAATGTGAATGGAACAGAACAAATTTTACCACACGGTATGATCCTTATCAAGTTCCCGTTCCATGCTCTGACAGTTCCTAGCCCGTTCCAACAAGAGAACTGTAAAAATGTGTCCTCAGCCAGCAAGAATGTGTGCATGATAATCCTATCCAGTCTCAATTCATCCTCTCATGTTCTGATTGGCTAAGACAACCTCCTTCCTTCCCGTCCTAGAACACCCACAAACTTAACTTTTCTTCCAGTGTTGATGCAAGGAGGGTACCACAGGTAATTTTTTTTAAAAAAAATTCTTTTTATTTTTATAGATGGAATTGCATTGTGTTTATGAGGGGAAAAAACAATGAATGCTTGCAACTTAAACCTCTTGGTAGCATTCTTTCCAATGCAGACATAAGGGCTTTCACCATACATTATAAATATTTTTTACGTACAACCTTGCCACATCAGTACGCATGCACAAAAGAATGACAGCTGGGGAATGACCTGAGAGCCAGTACCAGTACAACAGTAAATGTAGTGTGATAATATGTGTTCTCATAAAGTTATCATCGTGTTATCAGTAACACCCATTCCGATATCATTACGTTTCCAGGACTCGGTGGGAACTTTACAGGTACTGGTGCGATAAACTTACTTGGCAACCAAGTGGTTGAATTCAATGTGGTAGAATTCAAAGACATAGCTGTGTTAGTCTGGAAAATCAGTATACAAAGGGATCTTGTAACAGGTTTGAGACTAACTGAAAGAAAAAAGCTAGTAGCATGAGCTCTCATAGACTTGAACCTACTTACCGAGAGGCACCCCATCCTCACATTTCCAAAAGCTCATGCTACTAGTTTTTTTTCTTTCAGTTAGTCTCAAACGTGCTACAGGATCCCTTTGCATAATGTTATACAGTGTTTAGAGTGTTTGACTGGGAATTGGGAAAGCCAACTTCTAGTCCCTACTGAACCATGAAGTTTCCTAGGTAACCTTGGGTCAGTCAGTGTCTCTCAGCCTGACCAAACTCAAAGTCTCAAATTAGAAACGTGAAAGCCTGGGGGTGGAGGGAGGTGGGAGTGGAATGGGGTAAAGCTTTTTCCCAGCTTTTTTGGGAAGGCACTTTTCCCATAAAAAATGGGGGAAAATAGATGATGCAATATTTTCTTTTCAAATGATAAATAAAATATTACAAGAAGGTGTTTACTTATTTACTGCTCTGAAATTATTTCTAAAATCTATGTAAGAAGAATACTTTCATGGAAGACTATCCATAAAAGTTAAATTCAGTGTTGTGCACACCAGGATTAATCAATTGTTGTTGTTGTTGTTGTCATCACTGCCATTGTTGTTGTTGTTATGTATTCATTCATATTCTGCCTTTACTCCAGTATTGGGTATTCAGGGCAGCTTACAAAAAAGAATAGATATATGCAGCCACAGATCAAAGTACATGCATAAATAAAAACAGAAAAAATGTATTGTTGAAATGCAATTAAATTATCCATAACATGAAAACCTTTAAAATAAATTCATTAAAAAGGCAAAAATCTTTTTGCTCCTTTTGAAATCAAAAGTGACATTTATAGACTTAAATGCCTTAGGACTTTGAAACCATGTATACCTGGTGGGGGACTGTGGTGTGCAGAAGGAGCCTATTTATCTGGTTTAACAGAAGGGTAATATTGTATGAGAACATGAGAAAGGACCTTGTGAGTAATAACAGCCCCATTATGGAAGACAGAAATTCTGCTTTCTTTCCACTGTGAATTCAAAATGTGACTTTTTATTAGTTTACTTTTAAATGTGCGTGTATATTGGAAGCGTCCAAACTGTAGAAATGATACAGTTTGGCACCACTTTAACAGCCATGGCTCCATCCTACAGAATCCTGGGATTTGTAGTGTGGTGGGGCATCAGCAGTCTGACAGAGAAAGGTAAAGATCTTGCAAAACTATAAATCCTAGGATTCTATAGGATAGAGTTACAGCACCTCCCTCCCTTTGGTCATTAAATGGGCTTGAGAGGTAGGATTCATCTTGTTCTTAGCTGGCCTCAAGTTGACCTCGACTCATGGCAGTCTTGCAGATGAGACTTGTCTAACCTCACCATCCTACACTGTTCTCCTTAGGTATTGTAGACCTAAGCCTGTGACCTCCATAACTGAGTTTAGTAATCTGGCGTGTGGTCTTCCTTCCTTTCTTCTGCGTTTCCTAGCATTATTGTCTTCTCTAGTAAGTCATGCCTTCTCATGATGTGGCCAAATTATGACAGCCTAAATTTAATCATCTTGGCTTCCAGGGAGAGTTCAGGCTTGATCTGTTCAAGAGTTCATTTGTTTGTCTTTTTGGCTGTCCACAATATCTTTAGCGCTCTTCTCCAGCACCACATCTCAAATAAGTTAAATTTCTTTCTGTCGACTTTCTTCATGTCCTGCTCTCACATCAATTCATGGGGATGGGAAATAAAAAGGATTGGATGATTCTAACTTCAATGCTCAGTTGTTTAACTATACTCTTTATAATCCTGTCTAGTTCTTTCATCACTTCCCTTCCTATTCCCAGTCTTCTTATTTCTTGGCTGCAGTCTCAGTTCTGATCAATGTTTGATCTGCGGTATAAGAAATCTTTAACTATTGTGGTTTCCTCATTGTCTAGGTTGAATTTCTACAGATTCTCCATGGTCATTACTTTTGTTTTCTTTATGTTCATCAGAAAGCCTGCCTTTGTCCTTTCTTCCTTGACTTTTCTTAATAATTATTCCAAGTCTGTGATATTTTCCACTAGTAGTATGGTATCATCTACATATCTTAGATTGTTGCTGTTGCTTCCCCCTATCTTTATTCCTCCCTCCTCTAAGTCTAATCCTGCAATTACCATGATATTTTCTGCATGCAGGTTGAACAAGGTGATAATATACATCCTTGTCTGACCCCCTTGCCAATTGCAATCTGTTTAAATATTGTAATAATTTAATTCTGTTTTAATGTAACATTTTTTCTATGATTTTAATTGAACTGTTTTTAATCTTGTAAGCTTCGCTGAGTCCCAGTTTTGGGAAAAGGGTGGAAAATAATAATAATAATAATAATAATAATAATAATAATAATAATCAGGGAACCAGTGGCATCCTTGCACATAGTGTCACCCAATGCTGGTGCAGGGCCTCTGGAGGAAAAGTATGGGAAAAGAAAAGGACAGGACACCAGTGTCACCCCTCTTCTGGGGTGTCACCCGAAGTGGGCCACACCACCCTAGTGACACCAATATTGGAAACCATTCTGTTTCTCCACATTTTGTTCTAAGAATGGCCTCTTGTTCTAGGTACAGATTTCTCATGAGGACTAACAAGTGTGGTAGCACTCCCATGTCTTTGAGAGCATTCCATAGCTTTTCATGGTCAATGCAGTCAAAGGCTTTGCTATAGTCTATGAAGCACATGCTGATGGATGCAGCTCCATCCTATGGAATCTTGGTATTTGTTATTTTATAAGGTCTTTAGCCCATTCTGCCAAAGAGTGCTGGTGCCCCACAAAACTACAAATTCTGAGATTTTGTAGCATGGAACCATGGCAGTTAAAAGTGGTGTCAAACTGCATTATTTCTATAGAGCAAAATATACCCCTTGTTTTCCAGATGAATTTTTCATAACATGGACAGAAAACAAAATAGAACACCCCCAGCTGCTATGTGGTAGAAATAAACATACCCTGAAAGGTGCATCTAGAGAGATAACCCTAAAAACAATCAAAGTTCATATAGTCTTCATACACACACACACACAACCTTTTCACCCATTTTCATATACCCCATTTTTGTATAGTTCCCCAGTTCACTGTTGCCACCAAACTAGCCATGATTTTTAAATTGCTTTCTGAAAGCAGGTAAGAATTATCAATATTTTCCATGTGTAAGCTGCTGTTAAAAGCCCCAGAAACAGAAACAGAAAAAGAGGTGGCAACTCTACTTATTCTCAGCTAAAAATTAAAATAAAATCTGGAGGGCACCAAATCTGAGAAGCCTTTGTAAAGCTAATATGGAGTTTCAGTTCCTCTTTGATGATCTCTCATTTCTTCCCCCACCCAGTAAATTCCTATGAAATTGTTGTTGTTGCTGTGCTGTGTGTCTTCAAGTCATTTCCATCTTATAGCGACCCTATCATGGGGTTTTCTTGGCAAGATTTGTTCAAAGGAAGTTTGCCATTGCCTTGTCCTGAGGCTGAGAGAGAGTGACTTGCCCAAGGTCAGCCATTGGGTTTCATGGCTGAGCTGGGAATTGAACCCTGGCCTCCAGAGTCATCGTCCATCACTCAACCTATTATGCCACGCTGGCTTGCTGAACATTATGTGCTGTCTACTTTATTCTTCAAGCATCTAGATTAGGTTAAAATGATTTAAAACAATGTAAGTAATTGAAATAGATTTTAAGCATCTAGATTAGATGCTTATAGTCTATTTCAATTACTTACATTGTTTTAAATCATTTTAACTTGTTTAGGTTGATGTTCCTTGTACACTGCTTTGAGAACTTTTGATGTAGGATGAGCTAGAAATATGTAAATAAATAGTTTGGGTAACTTTAAGACTCCAGCAATATTCCAGGAGACATATGTTTTCTCCATCAACTATAGAAGCCAAAACAGTATTTTATGGGGAGGGGTCTAATCATGCAGGCTGCATCTGCACTGCAGAAATAATAATAGAAAACATATTATTATTATTATTATTATTATTATTATTATTATTATTATTATTATTATTATTATTTTCTTATATCCCACCTTTTGCCTAAGCAATCAAGGCGGCTTACAAATGTAAAATAAATTAATGCTGTTTGACCCCTGCTTCAACTGCCATGGCTCCATCCTATGGAATTCTGGGACTTGCAGTTTGTTGTAGCACAAGAGCTCTCTGACAGAGAAGGATAAATATCTCTCAAAACTGTAAATCCAAGAATTCCATAGGATTGAGCCATTATCAAAATGGATTATTTCTTCAATGGAGATACAGCCACAGTTGTGAAAGGCCCAAGGGTCCAGAGCTGTGTTGTTGTTGTTTTGCAGCTGGGGGAGGGAGAATAAGTCTATATTCAGAGGGATAAATGATATATATTAATCACTTGGTGCATTCTAGATGTTTTGGACTCAGTTCTCATCAGTCCCAGTCACTGTGGACAATGTTCAAGAATGCTTGGAGTTTTGCTCAAACACATCTGGATGACACTAATGGAGGTAGGCTGTGCTACACTGTCGTGATTTCACTGCAAAGCCATTTTTCAAATTGTTAACTTTGGAATAGTCTTTCTGACTTCAATAAACCAAACCTGATGTCTGATCATATACATCTTTACACACACATAAACCCTGCTTTGTTCAGTGAATCTTGTTCCAAGCAAACATTTATAGTAGATGTCATCAACTGTGGCCCTTCAGAGATTTGGGATTTATCATCGTTTTATTGTATAGTTACAGACCCATTAAAACAAACAGGAATAAAAGCATAGCCATTAAAACCATTAAAACCATGGCCATTCGAAGTATAGTCATTAAAACATATGCATCTTTAAAATACATAAAATGCACACACATCTTAATGTATAAAATAATACAGAACATAAAAGCATGAGATGCAGTTTGTGATTAGGATGGAAAAATAATCTTGTGGAAGCTTTAACAGAGAAGAGGAATTTAGCCACTAATTCTGCCATAAACCTGTTTGTATCAGCCAAACAATATTTCAAATAAAAACCACTGTCCTCTTTCCATATAGTAAGGCAAAGGGTCTTTCCATATAGTAAGGCAAAGCAGCCTATGGTTGTAATGTGTCTGAAATAATAATAATAATAATAATAATAATAATAATAATAATAACCTTAAGGGTTTTTTTATAATCTTTATTCAAAAAAATATTTTACCAGCATAAAAGCATCAATACAAATACAAATAACATCCACATTTACTCATATCATATTTAGCAACAAACATCCAATTATACCCACCAACCTCTCCACCCCAACATATTAACTATTATATTACCTAACATACAAAATTCAACAGTTCTTACCAATAATCCTTAAAAACACATCTGAAGTTCTGCTTTGTTCCTAATATCTTCTTGTTTTCCAGGTTTTCTGGGAGAAATGGCAACCCAATTCATATAGGACTTTGTGATAGGATCCTTTCAGTTCTGCAGAAGGCAAACAATTAAATTTATCCATAGAAACAGCATGGCTCTACTTAGGGATAGTGAAATTATTATGTATCTAATATGTTCAGGATTTTTTTACAAAAGCCAAATGTATTAGGGGGATTTGATACAGACTAATGGAAATTAATACCATTAATATCATGCTCTGTAATACATTTTTCATCAGCATAAATTCCAAAAGAGTCCATGCGTTTCTCCACATGATTGCTTAGGATGTGACAATAGTCAAGAGCTGATCTGCCCTTCCTGAAGCTTGCCTTATCATTCCCCAGTAGAGTTTCATCCTCTGTCCATGTGCAAAAGTATCCAGCAATTTTGGGCTACAGTTACATCCTTCACCCTTGGCTGTGTTACCTAGGGTTTTTAGGATCTGCAGTCCATGAACATCTAAAACAGGGGTAGGCAACCTTTCCCTTTTAAGGGCTGAGGGACTTCAGCTTCCAGAATCCCAGGAGCTATTGGCCAACATGGGACTGTTGGCCATCATGGCTGAGGCTTCTGGGAGCTGAAGTCCCTCGGCCCTTAAAGGGGAAAGGTTGCCTACCCCTGATCTAAAGCATGGATAAGAATTCTCTAGTCATAGACTCATAGAATCATAGAGCTGGAAGAGACCAGTCCAATCCCTGCCATGCAGGAACTTAAAATCAAAGCATCCTCGACAGATGGCCACCCAGACTCTGTTTAAAGACCTCCAAAGAAGGAGACTCCACCACTCTCTGAGGGAGTGTATTCCATTGTTGAACAGCTCTCACTGTCAGGAAGTTCCTCCTAATGTAGATGTGGAAACTCTTTTCCTGTAGCTTGCATCCATTTTTCCAGGTACTATTCTCTGGAGCAGCATAAAACAAGCCTGCTCCCTCCTCAATATGACATTCCTTCAAATATTTAAACAGGGCTATCATATCACCTCTTAACTGTCTCTTCTCCAGGCTAACATACCTAATACATTCCTCATAGTGCATGGTTTCCAGACTTTTTACCATTTTGGTCACCCTTCTTTGGACACACTTCAGCTTGTCAATATCTTTTTTGAACTGTGGTGCCTGGAACTGGACACAGTATTCCAGCTGAGGCCTGACCAAAGCAGAATAGCATGGCACTACAACTTCACTTGATCTAGATGCTATACTTCCATTGATGCAGCCTGGAATCACATTGGCTTTTTTAGCTGCTGCATCACACTGTTGACTCATGTTCAACTTGTGGTCTACTGGGACTACTAGATCCCTTTCACACGTAGGGAGTGTATTCCACTGTCGAACAGCTCTTACTGTCAGGAAGTTCTTCCTAAGGTTGAGGTGGAATCTCTTTTCCTGTACTTTGAATCCATTGCTCTGGGTCCTATTCTCTGGAGCAGCAGAAAACAAGTCCTTCAGATGTTGTTCAACTTCAAGTTACCAGTTCATTCCTCACATTTCCCTACTGGCTACACTGTTTAGGAGTTTGAAAGCCAGCATGTGGAGGGTTGCACAATTTCCATCCCTGGTCTAGAGAGCAACAGTGGCTCACCCCTAATTCAAAAAAATTGCCCCATGTCTTTCCCAAGAAGTAAGCCCCACTTTTATAGTTTCAATTAGTTTTCTTGTAAGCTTTTGCAGATTCCAAATTCTTCACGACTGTTAATATTTTCCACTATTGTCCAATATCAGAAGAAAATTCTGTTTCCAAGACCAGTTGTAATCATTCTCCTCTTCCAATTTTACAAGGATTGCCAGTTGTTTTTGTTTTTTTGCATTTTTTTTTAAAAAAGGTTTGCAGCTTGTACTTAATGTATAGTGTTTATTTTAACAATTTGGGTTGTTTGCTGAAATCTGTGATCTGCCTGAAGTATGATGCTTGCTAAACAACACAATTACGATGTGCTTTAGTATTCTCTTTTCTGAACTTTTTGGATACGATTAAGAATGAACAAATCTTAATAGGAAAAAAAGAAAGCCAGGAAAGCTGGATTGTAGCAGTATACAACCTTCCACTTTTGCTTGAGCACACATGCTCCTTCATCATATAGTGAGGCGTGGTTTACAGTGCATGAGATACAAAATAACAAGAAAAATGTCACAGTTGCTTACAGAGTCAGATAGAAATACTAAAAACATTCTAAATATGTATGTGTATGTGTAGAGATTATGTTTTATGTTATAATAATATTTAAAAAAAGAAATACTAAAAGCATTCTGAGACAGCTGCTTCAGATACCTAATCATCTCAAATAGCACCTGATAATATATTTACAGATAATTTTACCATAATTTAACATCAGTTGTATTAATCTGTACTAGGACTTCCAGATATTTTGCTATGCTGATCTCTCCTGCTCCTTTTTCAGACTGCTAACTCAACCTACACATCTAAAAACATTGATATGTGTAATAATCCCATTGATACAATGAAACATACATCTACATAGACATCCACAAGATTGCACTGTACAAAAAAGTTGTTGTTGTTGTTGTTGTTGTTGTCAACTGCCTTTGAGTCAACCTCAACTCAAGATGACCCCATGAATGAGACACCTTCAAACTCCTCTATTCTCAACTGCTCTGCTCAGGCTCAAGGCCATGGTAACCTTGACTGAGTCTATCCATCTAGTGTGTAGTCTTCCTCTCTTTCTATTGCCCTCTATTTTCCAGCATCATTGCCTTCTCATGAAGTATCTAAAGTACAACAGCCTCAATTTAGTCATCTTCGCTTCCAGGAAGAGTTCAGGTTTGATCTGTTCTAAGACCCATGTTTGACTTTTTTGGCTGTACTTTATACCCTTAGCACTTCTCCATCACCACTTCTCAAACAAATTGATTTTCTTTCTAGCGGTTTTCTTTACTTTCCAGCTCTCACATCCATACATTGTGATAGGAAAGACAATGACTTGGACGATCCTAAATTTTGTGTACAGTTTTATATTTTTGTACTTGTCTAGTTCTTTCATAGCTGCCCTTCGGAATCTTAATTTTCTTCAGATTTCTTGACTGCAATCCCCCTTCTGATCAATGTTTGACCCAAGGTATGGGAAATCCTTAACTACATTTAATAGCCCTGGTGGCACAATGGTTAAATGCCAGTACTTCAGCCACTCACTCACAAACCACAAGGTTTTGAGTTCAGTACCAGCCAGCAGCTCAGGGTCTA